CGTCTATCTCTCTCTCCTCACTGGACAAAGAGGCAGCAGCGGGAGCTATTGGCTCCTGCTGCTGTTATTAGCAGCAAATGAGGAGGGAGCAGGGCCGAGTCATGCTTCGTGTGTCAATAGACACAGAGCCGGCTCAGGATAGAGCACAAACAAGTGCCCCCAGGACAAGTGGTTTGCTATGGGGGCATTCGGCAGCGGGGAGGAGCCAGGATCCTCAGCTGGGGACCCTAGAAGAGGAGGATTGGGGCTGCCCTGTGCAAAACCACTGCACAGAGCAGGTAAGTATAACTTGTATGTTATTTTTTTTTTAATTTTACCTTTAGAATCACTTTAACATAACTCTGGGCAGCTCATCTGTATGTTAGTACAGGTCACTAACCCAAGTCTGACAAATGTGTTCTCCTCCAGACTATATAAACTAGGCTGTACTAATAGTCCTCATGCACACGGGACGTTTTTACAGCGGCTGTTTTTGGATTTTGATGTTTTTTTTCTACAGCCAGTAAACCCCCCCAGCATGTTATCCTATGTGTCCATACACACATAGACTGGAATCAACGTTTTTTTTTGTCTGGGATGTTTTTTGGCTGGAAAAAAAACCCAGGACTAGTGGGTTTCTGGAAGAGTTTTTTAGCTGTAAAAACGCTCTAATGCTGAAAAACACGGAAAAACACCGCAAACCAGCATTTTTGGACTTTTTTTTTACAAAAAAAAAAAAAAATTTTTGTTTTTTTAGCTGTAAAAACACTCTTAACGCTGAAAAACGCAGCAAAACACGGTAAATCGCAGCAAACCAACGTTTTTGGACATTTTTTTGAGCAAAAAAAAAAAAAAATTGGGGAGTAAAAAAAAAAACACAAACGCAACAAATGCCTCTAAACCAGTGGTTCTCAACCTTCCTAATGCCGCAACCCTTTAATACAGTTCCTCATGTCGTGGTGTCCCCCCAACCATAAAATTATTTTTTCGCTGCTTCTTCATAACTGTAATTTTGCTACTATTATGAATCGTAATATAAATATCTGATATGCAGGATGTGTTTTCATTGTTACAATTTGAACATAATTAAAGCATTCTAATTCATGAAATATCGTTTTACCTCCAATACTGCTGCTTTCTACACAGTAGCTGCTTTCAACACAGTAGCTGCTTTCTACACAGTAGCTGCTTTCAACACAGTAGCTGCTTTCAACACAGTAGCTGCTTTCTACACAGTAGCTGCCTTTTTACACATGTGTGACTGGTCCACATAAGTACATTATGGTGCCAACCCTGTCACATACACCTGTATTTGTACGGGGTGTATGTGATGGGGTTGGCGCGATGTCATCACGCCGGGTACTTGTATGTGGGAGTAGCTGCATGTGGGCGGACCCACCTGGAGACGGATGGAGGAGCGATGTCTCTGTTCCTAAGACCAATGGAAATGTGTTTTCCGATGGTCTTGGGCGACCCCTGTGGAAGGGTCGTTCGACCCCCAAAGGGGTCGCGACCCACAGGTTGAGAACCGCTGCTCTAAACGCTAATGCGAAAACGCTGAAAAAGTCATGTTTTTGACGTGACTTTACACAGCTAACGTTACCGGCGTTATTAAAATGCCCCGTGTGCATAGAGCCATATTATTTAGCTTTCTCACGTCTACGAAGTACGGTTTACGATAGCCATTTAGACATTTACGACAGGGCTCGTTAGCTGGCTGTGAAGATCCTGGAATGATTTAATGGGATTTATGATAGCCTGTTCTTTAATGTGGTGGCTTTTAAAACTGGTTGTCCCCTTGCTCAGCATAGACATCAGACTGAAATCTACACTTTGTTTGCAAAAAAAAAAAAGCATGGCATTGATGCACAACATCCCTGTTCTGTTCTCTCCAATGCCTTTCAGGTCATCAGACAGAATCATCTTTACAGTCACTGTTTATGCTAGAGCATACAAAGACATTTTAAATATTTGTACACTTCCAACCTTTTGGCAACACTTTGTGGGAGGCCCTTTCCTATGACCCGGCAGCTGTAAACAAAGCCAGCTCCATAAAGACATGGTTTGACTGGTATGCTTCAGAAAAACTCACATGGCCTGTTCAAATCCCTGACCTCAACCCCTACTGAGCACCTTTGGGGTGAACTGGAATACCAACTGCGAGCCAAGTCTTCTCATCCAACACCACTACCTGACCACACAAATGTTGCTTTGGCTGAAAGATCACAAATTCCCATAAATACCCTCAATAATGCCCATCACCCCATCTGTCTTGGAATTAGTGCCTGCTCATAATAACACTTAAAGTGTTGAAGTAGAACTAAAGGCAAAACTTGTTACACACTCAGTTTAGTGTGTATGGCTAGAGAGGTTTGTTTTTTTTGGGAGTGTGCGTGGGATCAGCACAGGGCCAATCAGCACTGTCCAGACAGAGTCCTGGTCATGCAGACTAGAGGCGGACTGACCATTTGGAAACTCGGACACTGCCCGAGGGCCCGGGGTCAGTAGGGGGCTCCATGAGATGCCCCTGGTACCTTTTTCATAGGCTTTTTTGAGCTTGGGCAAGGACACATGGGCCCCATAATCCCCTATTGCCCGGGGGCCCCATGAGTTGTCAGTTCGCCCCTGATGCAGACTCATAGGACAGGCAGAGCAGAATGAAAATTCCTCCTTCAAGCTTTAACCAGTTCTCTGCTGGACACTGATAGAAGTCACAAGACTGCTAATTACAGTTGTGTTCAAAATAATAGCAGTCAGACATCACTAACCGGATCAATCACTGTTTTTGGTAGAAATTATATTTCTACATGGCAAATAATTTACTAGCAGGTGTAGTAGAGTAATAGAAATCCAACAGACCCAACAGTCATGACATGCATGCTGCTGATTCTGTGTCATTGAATCACTCATTGAAAGGGGCATGTTCAAAATAATAGCAGTGTGGAGTTCTATTAGTGAGGTCATTCATTCTTTGAAAATCAGGTGGCAATTATTGCCCTTATTTAAGGAAGGAAGGCAGCAAATGTTGTACATGCTGGTTACAGTGCATTTCTCTCTGAAATTCTGAGGAAAATGGGTCGTTTCAGACATTGTTCAGAAGAACAGCGTACCTTGATTAAAAAATTGATTGGAGAGGGGAAAACATATAAAGAAGTGCAGAAAATGATAGGCTGCTCAGCTAAAATTATCGCAAATGCTTTAAAATGGCAACCAAAACCTGAAAGACGTGGAAGAAAGCGAAAAACTACCATTGGAATGGATAGAAGAATAGCAAAAATGGGGCGGACTCAGCCAACAATCAGCTCCAGGAAGATGAAAGAAGGTGTGACGTTCCCTGTGAGGACTGTTACAATTAGAAGACGCCTATGTGAAGCCAAGCTATCTGCAAGAAGTCCCCGCAAAGTCCCACTGTTGGAAAAAAGACATGTACTGAAGAGGTTACAATTGCCAAAGAGCACATTGACTGGCCTAAAGAGAAATGGCGCAACATTTTGTGGACTGATGAAAGTAAGATTGTTCTTTTTGGGTCTAGTGGGCCGGAGACAGTTTGTCAGATGACCCCCAAACACTGAATTCAAGCCACAGTACACTATGAAGACAGTGAAGCATGGTGGTGCAAGCATCATGATATGGGGATGTTTCTCATACTACGGTGTTGGGCCTATTTATCGCATACCAGGGATCATGGATCAGTTTGAATCCATCAGAATACTTGAAGAGGTCATGCTGCCTTATGCTGAAGAGGAAATGCCCTTGAAATGGGTGTTCCAACAAGACAACGACCCCAAACACACCAGTAAACGTGCAACATCTTGGTTCCAGACCAACAAGATGGACGTTATGGAGTGGCCAGCCCAATCCCCGGATCTTCATCCAATAGAAAACTTGTGGGGTGACATCAAAAATGCAGTTTCTGAGGCAAAACCAAGAAATAGAGAAGAACTGTGGAATGTGGTCCAATCATCCTGGGCTGGAATACCTGATCACAGGGGCCAGAAGTTGGGTGACTCCATGCAACACAGATGTACAGCAGTTCTCAGAAACAGTGCGACTACAACCAAATATTCATGAAGTCATTCAAAGGAAAGCAAAATCTTCAAACATTTTTCAGTTTATATAGTGAATGTTTGAGTTTGTAAAGAAGAATACAAACATTGTTTTTTTTTTGAACAGTCTAATATTCACTTTTCTTCAAATTTTTTAGAGGAACAACACAAATTTGATGTATTTTTCTTCATGTTTTGATTTGGAATAGAATGTGTCGTGTTCCCAATGCATTTGTGTGGATGGAAATAAAAGCTATTAGAAGGATTTTGAGCTTTATTCACTTTTTGCAACACAGTGCTATTATTTTGAACACAACTGTACCTCTGATGAGAAAAGATATTTAGCAGTTTATATTTACTAAAATAATTGCATTTCCATGTTCTGAGTACTGTGGGAGACCAAATAAAGTAGGTGACGGGTCCTTGGTTAAGTAACACTTTAAAATGTTTTTTTCTTTATATTTATACACAAATGGTTTACTTTTCATTTAAACTGAATGGGTTGTTTTACAAAGTGAGGATTTATATATATACGTTAATACAAATTACAGATTGGATTATAGACAGTACAAAGAGCAATCATGATGTGTAAAGGCTAGCAGCCCACAGTGCCCAATCAGATTTCAGCGTTCATCAGTTTTTAACCACTTGCCTACCAGGCACTTATACCCCCTTATTTACCAGGCCAATTTTCAGCTTTCAGCGCTGTCGCACTTTGATTGGCAATTGCGCGGTCATGCAAGATTGTACCCATATGAAATTTTTATCATTTTTTTCTCACAAATAGAGCTTTCTTTTGGTGGTATTTAATCGCTGCTGGGCACTTTACTTTTTGTGCTATAAGCAAAAAAATTGCAAAAAAAGTGAAAAAAAAAAAAGTTTTTTTGTTTCTATTATAAAATTTTTCAAACAGGTAATTTTTCTCCTTCACTGATGTGCGTTGATGAGGCAGCACTGATGGGCACTGATAGGCAGCACTGATAGGCAGCACTAATGAGGTGTCACGGATAGGTGGCACTGATATGCGGCACTGATTGGTGGCACTGATAGGCGACACTGATAATGGGTACTGATAGACAGCACTAATAGGTGGCACTGACTGACATCACTGCTGGGCACTGACTGGCGGCACTGCTGGGCACTGACTGGCACAACCGCTGGGCACTGACTGGTGGCACTGACTGGCAGAACTGCTGGGCACTGGTGGGTGGCACAGGTGGGCACAGGTGGGTGGCACTACTGGGCACAGGTAGGTGGCACTTCTGGGCACAGGTGGTGACACTGCTGGGTGGCACAGGTGGGAGCACTGCTGGGCAGAGGTGGGTGCATTGCTGGGCACAGGTGGGCGCACTGCTGGGCACAGGTGGGCGCACTGCTGGGCACAGGTGGGCGGAACTTGTGTGTGGCACTGCTGGGCACCGATCATCAGGGCACTGGTGATCAGTGACCCTGATGATTGGTGCCGATCCCCGCTCTGACAACTGCCGGTTTTTGGCAGTACTTTCCTCACGACCTGACAGCGTGAGGAAAGTGCAGCCGAGAACCAGCATTTTCCCGGTGATCAGCGTGTCATTGGACACGGCTGATCACGTGGTAAAAGGCCGCTGTGATTGGCCTTTTACCACGTCACGTGCCTCGGACTTTGCTGGAATAATATATTCTTCAAAGCAAAATGGTGAACTTTGAGGCATATTGTAATAAAACAAAAGCCTTTAGATTACTATAAAGGAAAATGCGCATCCGTGGGTCACCAGATGGTGCCACCCAACTTTTTTTTTTTTTTCACGTGATCAGCTCTGTCCATAGGACACAGCGATCATGGAGATCACCGGGTGCGTGCCCCAGGGGGCGCGCAGGAGAGCGCGTTCTGGGAGGACGTCATATGATGTCCACCCAAAACTGGCCGGCCGCAGTGCAGCCGTCATTCGGCTATTTCGGCTAGTTAAAGAAGTCACAACCATGACTTAAAATAGAATTCCAATCATTATCTAACGATAAACCTACACCCTCCCCCATTCTAAAAGTATTCTCACCTAACCCTGTAAAGGAAAGATTGCTATACTTACCTATTCTGAAGCCAGTCTGGTCCCACACTGAACTGTCAGTGGCGGCTTCTGTGTAGAGGAGGGGCAGCCGACAACGGATGCCCCATAGTAAGTCTATGGGTGACCTCATCTCTCAGCCGTTGTTGGCTTTCACTACCTCATAGAAGCCACCGCTGGAGACTGGAAAGGAGCGACTTCAGAACAGGTAAGTATAGCGATCTTTTTTTAGATAGGTTTAGAATGAGGATGAGAGTAGGTTTAAAATTAGTTACAGTGCTCAGCATAAATGAGTACACCCTTTTTGAAAAGTAACATTTTCATCAATAGCTCAATGAACACAACAAAAATTTTGAAAATTTTGACAAAACTGAGTTTTATAGAACATTTGTTTGGCTCATTACATGAAAGTAAGGTTAATAATATAACTTAGATTACAAAATCTTCAGTTTTACTAGATTTTGATGCAAAAATGAATCGACCCTACAACAAAAATTACTCCATCTATTTTGTATGACCTCCATGATTTGTAAGGAGAGCACCAACTCTTCTAGGCTTGGAATGAACAAGTTTGTGACATATTGCAACATCGATCTTTTTCCATTCTTCAACAACGACCTCTTTTAGAGCCTGGATGCTGGATGGAGAGCGATGCTCAGTTTGCCCCTTCAGAACTCCCCATAGGTGTTGGATTGGGTTCAGATCAGGAGACATACTTGGCCACTGAATCACTTTCCCCCTGTTCTTCTTCAGAAATGCAGGAGTGGTCTTAGATGTGTGTTTTGGATCATTGTCATGTTGGATAAGTGCACAACGACCAAGGGCACGGAGTGATGATTGCATCTTCTCTTTCAATATAGAGCAGTACATCTGTGAATTCATGACACCATCAATGAAATGCAGTTTTGCGACACCAGCAGCACTCATACAGCCCCACAGAAGGACACCGCCACCACCATGTTTCACTGTAGGCACCGTGCATCTTTCTTTATACTGCTCAACTTTGCAATGCCATACAGTTTTGAGTCCCAGTAATCTTCCTCTTTTTTCAACATGGGCTCTGGCAAATTCTAGGTGGGGTTTTTGTGCACGGGCTTTAAGAGAGGCTTACTTCATAAACAACACCCATGCATGCCATTCCTCTGCAGTGTACACCATACTGTGTCACGGGAAACAAACACCCCAGTTTGGCTTTCTACTTATTTAGCTAACTGCAGTGAACTTGCATGGCGATTTCGTTCAACCTTTCTCATCAGAAGACGCTCCTGTCAAGGTGTTAACTTCCGTGGATGGCCTGAACATCTCTGTGAGATGGTTGCAGTTCCTTCTTTGTTGCATTTTTGCTACAGTTTTCTGACTGATAAGTAAAGCTTTGCTGATCTTCCTGTAGCCTTCACCTTTCTTGTGTAAAGAAATTATTTTCTCTCTCAGGCCTTGTAACATTTCTCGTCCATGTAATGCCATTGCTGACAACATGAAATGGGGAGGGGTTTTCTTTGTTAAGTAACGCCCTTTTATAATCATCTGTCTGCTGTACTCCTGTTTAATGAATAATTAGACTTACCTGTAGTTGAATTCTTGTTAATTAGGATTTTGTTGTCTAAACTTTAGCTCCTAAGACTTTCATTGGAGTGTGTTCATTCTCCTAGATTGTAAGCTCGAAAGAGCAGGGCCCTCGATCCCCTCATGTTTTGCATTGTATTGGTATTGTTCTGTCACATGTTCTGTCCCCCTTTGTAATGTACAGCGCTGAGCGAACTATTGGCGCTTTATAAATACTGTATAATAATACTGTATAATAATAATTTTTGCAACATGGTCTTGATTGAATTTGTTAGGAAAAATACTTTGTGTGTGAAAATTAACAAATCTTGTTTGCAATCAATGGCCGGCATTTCTGGGAGTATTTTATAGTATAGTGTCCCATAAAAAAATGTTGATTCGGAAAGGAAAAGAAAAAAAGAAAGGAAAAGAAAAAAATAAAGGGAAAGGAAAAGAAAAAAAGAAAGGGAAAGGAAAAGAAAGGAAAGGGAAAGAGAAAGGAAAGGAAAGGAAAGGAGAAATGAAAGGAAAGGAGAAATGAAAGGAAAGGAAAGGAGAAAGGAAAGGAAAGGAAAGGAGAAATGAAAGGAAAAGAAAGGAAAGGAAAGGAAAAGATAGGAAAGGAAAGGAGAAAGGAAAGGAAAGGTTTTCTGACAAATCTGTTGGGGTGTACTCATTTATGCTGAGCACTGTAGGTAATGACTGTAATGCTACTTTATTGCTGGGGGTTGCTGAACTGATCATAATGCTCCCTCTGCGTTAGTAGGGAAGCCTGTATAAACCATGGATGTATTTTCGATTTTTCTGCCAGGATGTGAAGTGGGAAAGATGCAACATGGTCTTGATTGAATTTGTTAGGAAAAATACTTTGTGTGTGAAAATTAACAAATCTTGTTTGCAATCAATTGCCGGCATTTGTGGGAGTATTTTGTAGTATAGTGTCCCATAAAAAATGTTGATTCAGAAAGGAAAGGAAAGTAAAGGAAAAGAAAAAAAGAAAGGGAAAGGAAAAGAAAAGAAAAAAAGAAAGGGAAAGGAAAAGAAAGGAAAGGAAAGGAGAAATGAAATGAAAGGAGAAAGGAAAGGAAAGGAAAGGTTTTCTGACAAATCTGTTGGGGTGTACTCATTTATGCTGAGCACTGTAGGTAATGACTGTAATGCTACTTTATTGCTGGGGGTTGCTGAACTGATCATACTGCTCTCTCTGCCTTAGTAGGGAGGCCTGTATAAGCCATGGATGTATTTCGGATTTTTCTGCCAGGATGTGAAGTGGGAAAGATACAGCGCTCCCTTCCTCCAGGCTATGGAGCCACAAATTTACTCAAATGCTTTCAATTTTCTCTATTTACGAGCAAAGAAAATTGCAGCAATTTCTGCAGATTGCTATCCCTTTGGCAGCTTTGGGTGTTTATGGAAAGCGTTACTGTCAGGGTTATGGAATATAAAAGGTATGAAAATGGGACATAACCCTAGTGAAAAAATATACCATTATCAAGTAATGCTATACGACTCATCTATTCATTTGTATAAAATACAAAAAAAGCAGCACTTCCGTATTGTTTTTCCATATCCAACAAACTTTTTCGATCAAAAAGCAGATTCAGTAATCCAGAATATTACATATCACTCTCCGCCAGACTGTTTCTCCTTCTCCTTCAATGCATTTATCTCCAGTAGACATTAGTGAAGGATCCTGGCACAGCAGCCATACACCTTCCTCTTCATGCATTGTTTGTGATTAGGCAAGGCCGCTTACCCGACAAGGTGACAAGGTACACTTCCTACCCCAGGGGTGCTCAACCAGTGGCCCTTGGAGCCCTCTGATGTGGCTCTCAACCTCAAATGAGGGAAGCACATCCACAGGGGTCAGCAAACGATTAATCACAATCTGTGCTTACCTACCCGCCATCCCAGAGTGCACCGAGATGGCTCCGCCAACAGAGGAAGCAGGCGGCCATGGAGGGAGAAGAAGCCACATAAGCCGATGCGTTCTCTGTAGCGCCGGCTCCTGTCCCAGGAGAAGTGATGCCAAGTGCCTTTTGCCTGGGACCCAACCCCGCAGGAAAGCCGCAGATGCAGGTAAACTGTAGTGCATCAGTGTGAAAGCAGCCATATAAGGGGCTCAGAACAGTAAGGGATTGTTTACATTTGCAGTTTTGGAGGTAAAACCCCATAACTGAGATGTGTACTGGTGTATGTGGCACTGGTGTAGCGCTAGGAGTTCCAATAGCGACCCCGCCCCATGCTCCGGGGGGCCCGTGCAGCCTCCCAGTCACATTCTGGTTTACACTTGGACAGGAGGAGTCGCAGGGGTGGCATATACAGGAACTGATCCTCTCCATTTTCCTCCTGCAATCGCTGAAAGCCAGCTTCTGCTCCTCTCCCCCCCAGAGGCATTCAGCGGCTGGAGATGGAAAATATTCAAAATAATATATTCAAAATTCTGAACCATTTCACTTCAATGTGGCCCGTGACCAGTTACCAAATTATTTAAGTGGCCCTCACTCTTCAAAAGGTTCAGCACCCCTGTCCTACCCAATGGAAGATTTGCTCTCTAAGCAAAAATTTTTTTAGTCTTGGATATAGTAGGGAAGGGTTAGACCCACTGTCAAGCTTTTCTTGCTGTCTGTATCCCCAATGGCGAGATTCACTCCTCTGTATTTAATGGTGAATCTGGAAATTAAGGAAATCACAATTTAAAGAGGAGTTCCACCCAAAAGGGGAAGTTCCGCTTTAAAGCTTTGTCCCCAGCTCCCCATTAAGGATTGGCACCTTTGGTGAGCGGGGGATGGGGGGGGGAGTGGGTACCCCAAATTGAC